TTTGTAATTGGTATATCAAAAGATTTGATTTTCATAACTTTGCTTCAGTTTTGTTTGTGAATAGGGCTATGATGGTTCAATGTCAGTGGATCTGATTATTTGATGATCCCACACCGAATAGTTGCCCTATAACAAAATAAGCCTGTCTGTCCGTCCTGCATATGTTTTATGTCGTTTGAAAGGTTAAGATTGTCTCATCTGATGTAATATCCTTTCATCTTATTTTGTGTGCCAAACATTTTCCCCATAGATAATACTGTCCAAACATTGATGTGTACAGAATTAATAATTTGATCGTTACATCAAGGTGTATAACCCTCATAATCCTGTTAAACATCACATTATTCATGTTATTGGATGCGATAAACGTTGTTATGTGTATAGAACTTTTGAAATAAACAATGGAAAAATAATTTAAATAAACCAAGACATTTATGTTGACGTTTGATATATAGTTTTGGTTTCCATCGTCTTAAATGACAATACCATGCAGGATGTATCGAATACATGCCTGGCAGTAGCCGCTAAATGCATATTTTTGTCGTTGATTCAAGAGTGTGTACTAATAGTATAAGTTCAACAAAGTTTCTTAAAGTTTAATTGCATCTTGCAGTCATTACTATCATTTAAAAACTAAGAAACTAGATTGATTTTGATTCAACATCTAAAGACTCAAAAATATAACCATTATTTAGTCAGAACGAATCAAAACAAGCATTAACAAATGTTTTCGAATACTGTGAATGAGAACAAGGAATAAAGATAGCTCATCGTAGATGGTTTTAACTGAAACTGGAGAAAATATTAAATGTTTGGTAGGGTCACGAAATTAATCCTTTTAACCACTCTAGTATTGTCTCATCACGTGAATTTGAAACAAAAAGATCAATTGATGGATGTCTGCAAGTCTGACATTGTTCAAATTCTAGTCCGGCAAATTTTTTATGACTATCCCATAGAATACGTTAATATGAGGCATATATAAACTTTTAATAAATTGTGAAAAGAAGAGTGATAGGTAGAGTGGAAGTTTAGCCTCCTGAAGTGGATAATCTCATTAATATGGAAATCTACAGAAGATTTTTTTTACGTATGATGGGGCGTGACATTCTCCAACCACGGCTGAAAAGGAGTCCTCATACAGACTCTCGGTATTATAGTTGAATTCATGAGAGGAACAAAGTAAAGATTACAAGAATGATGTTCACATGCAGTAATATTAAAGAAAACGATCTCTCATTTAGTATGAAACTAACTAAGGACATACATAATATGAAATCTGATTATGAAATATTTTGATGCATTTCCTCTTTTATAAATACAATTGAATGACTCAGTGCTATAATTGGATTTCAGATACTGGTAACTATTAAAACACAGAGGATTGAATTGGCAATTGGCAAATGTTACATAGATTTAGAACATCGAATGCAATATAAGTGTGAATCTGTTTTCTTCTAGACTGACACGCTAATTCAGATGTTTAACGAACTATGCAAAAAAAAAAAAGTCTGAAGGATGAAAAAAGATGGACGAAAGATACCAGAGGGACAGTCAAACTCATAGATCGAAAACAAACTGACAACGCCATGGCCAAAAATAAAAAGACAAACAGACAAATAATAGTACAGATGACATAACATAGAAAACTAAAGACTAAGCAATACGAACCCCACCAAAAACTGGGGGTGATCTCAGGTGCTCCGGAAGGGTAAGCAGATCCTGCTCCACATGTGGCACCCGTCGTGTTGCTTATGTTATTACAAATCCGTTAAATAGTCTAATTCGGTAGGTCACATTCGTGAAAAGGGAAGGGTATTGTAGTTACGACATAAGGAACATATCCGATATCATCTGGGAAACGGCTATTCCATGAAATGTCTCTCTACCCTAAACATGCTATATCAAGACGAAACAGATCAGATTTGCTTTTAATTCTGAATTTAATCTGCTTTGCAGTCAAGTACCAAATACAAGTTTGAAAGTGACCTGGTATCACGTCCACAAGTAGGTGCAAGATACCACCTTCTAGTATTATCCCATATATTTGATCAATGGTTTACTATATACCTTTCAGTAGATACCAACTAACAATAGCATTACACATGTTGGAAAAAAGTCTCCTCAGCCTGTATGTTGAAATCACCCATTTATTGGATTATTGGTATACATAAATTGTAACTTGGATGGAGAGTTGTCTCATTGGCACTCATACCACATCTTCCTTTATCTATGTTTAAATAAAATGCTCCGCTGGGCGCAGCTTGATACGACCGCAGAGGTCGAACACTGTACAGTTGGGGCAAGTATTGACACAACATTCAAGCTTGATACAGCTCTGAATTTGGATTGTGATTAAATATTTGACACAGCATAAAGAAAAAAAAAGGGAAAAAAATTTTTTGAACCCCCTTATGATTCATCACCCCCAAACTCAATCCCAGCCTTCCCTTTGTGGTATGGTACCTTGCAGTACAATTTTAGAGAGATCCATACACTTGAACACAAGTTATTGTCTGGAAACTAGAAAAATGCTTGTTTTTTGGCACCAAATTCCTAAACGTTTAGGGCAATTACCCCCAAACTCAAACCCAGCTTTCCCTTTGTGATATGGAACCTTGTAGTACAATTTCATAAAGATCCATACACTTACCCACAAGTTATTGTCCTGAAACTAGAAAAATGCGTTTTTCGCCCCTAATTCCTAAAATTTTGAGGCAATTACCCCCAAAATCAATCCCAGCCTTCCCTTTGTGGTATGGTACCTTGCAGTACAATTTCATAGAGATCCATACACTTGAACACAAAGTTATTGTCTGGAAACTAGAAAAATGCTTATTTTTGGCCCCTTATTCCTAAACGTTTTGGGCAATTACCCCCAAACTCAATTCCAGCTTTCCCTTTGTGATATGGAACCTTGTAGTACAATTTCAGAAAGATCCATACACTTACACACAAGTTATTGTCATGAAACTAGAAAAATGCTTGTTTTTTGCCCCTTTTTTGGCCCCTAATTCCTAAAATTTTGAGGCAATTACCCCCAAAATCAATCCCAGCATTCCCTTTGTGATATGGAACCTTGTGGTACAATGTCAGAGAGATCCATACACTAACACACAAGTTATGTCTGGAAGTTACAAAAATGCTTATTTTTGGCACCTAATCCCTTAACTGTTGGTACCATAACCCCCAAAATCAATCCCAACCTTCCTTTTGTGGTATTGAACTTTATGGTATAATTTCATAGAGATCCATTTACTTAAACTAAAGTTAGAGTGCGAAAACCAATGTGTCTTCGGACGACGACGAGGATGACGCCAACGTCATACCAATATATGACTGCAAAATTTTTTTGCGGTCGTATAAAAACTAGTCTTGGTGATTATTTGAAAAATATCACTCACATGGTGAATTAAAATAAAGGATTAAATAACAAATTGGTTGATTAACTAGCCAAAAGTATTGTTAAGTATTAGATTTGTCTTAAGAATATTTTCAATCTGGCTAGAGAATTATTGGTATTGTGAATAAATCATATCATGTAAAGATTGATATTTGATAAACTCTGTTAAATCTATACATAACCTTTTAGCTTCTGTGCAATTTAGAGATAAACATATGTCCCTTGTTAAAAACTTAAAAACCTGTAGATGTTTTTTTTTTAATGTATACCACACATTTTTGTCATTCATAACAAAGACTATGAGATTACAGATTTAAGATGCAAGTTATATAAAATTGTCGCTCCATTATCAATGATATTTTAAGCAAAAAATTCAAAGACTTATGAAAGCCAATTAAAATAATTGGCAGTCTCCTGAACAAAGCAGAGTAATTTGTGTTTTAAAATTTGAAATGTACAAATGTACGTGCTTCATAGGACATTGATAATGCAAATGACTTTGCTGCTTGAACTTTTACTCATAGACAGTTATTTCTACACAATATTTTAATAGATACATTTTACTTGCTTATCATTCATTCTTTCTATCTATTGCTTTCAGCACCTGAAACCTCCTTCTTTCTAGTCTCCCATTTCACTATCTGCCCTTGTGTTTAATATCACTTTCAATTGTGCATTGATTTTTTTCATAATGGCTGAATGTAATGTATGCAGTGAAATTAATGATTAAATTAACTTATTTGTCTTTGCTTGATTCTCCTTTCATAAATCTCACAATTGCTAAAAGTTACATAACTTCAATGGAAATGATTCTTGAACCTGTATTACATATATTGTACCAGTATTAAATGTCTATTTTCATGTTTCTCTCCCGATGACACTGGTAAATGCATCATACTGTAAAAGGGGAAATTTTCGTGAAGGATTTATTTTCCTTTACTTAGCAATTAAATTAAATCTTGAAAATCCTGCTTCATGTAAAATTGATCTTTTAGAGAAATCACAATCATGGGTAAAAAACATAAAACATTGTGAACTTGCAAAAAATTAAACCTAAAAAAACAAACCACTTTATAGTGTGCCCTTAAAGGTATTGATCTACTGGGCAATATTTTGACTAATATATTGATGTCACAAGTCTTATAATCTGGGCTATATTTTGACTAAGATATTGATTATCACAAGTCGTATTATCATGGCTTTTTATTTGACTAAGATGTTGATTTCATAAGTCATATAATCTAGGCTTTTTATATGACTAAGATATTGATTGTAACAAGTCAAATAACCTAGGCTATATTTTGACTATTATATAGATTTCACCAGTCATATAACTTGAGATATTTGTTTTACTAAGGTATTGATGTCATAAGCAAAACAAACCTGGGGTTGATTTTGACTAAGATATTGTTGTCACAAGTCATAAAACCTAGGGTTATTTTACCAAGATATTGATGTCATAAGTCATAGAAACTGGGCTATATTTTGATGTCATAAGTCATATAATCTTGGCTATACTTTGACTAAGGTATTGCCCAGTTTTAACAATGTTAGCCAAATATTAGAAGTAAATATGTTATTACAGAAAAACTAAAACTAAGTATAATATCTTTAATATCAAATAACTTCATCAACATAATTAATATACACAAACACCAAGTAATTAAGCGTGTATTTATTTCTACAATCTGTAACTGTACAACAGTTTTTCAGAAGTTATTTATTAAATGCTTTTAAGCTTGAAAGACTAATGTATTAGCTTTGAATTAAGATTTGATAGAATAAAGTTTTGAAAATTGTCATATTTACATGTACAAATGTAAAACTGTAAAAACAAATGAAAACGAAAACAAAAAAATCAAATCTTCAGTGTTTTTCAAGTTCTAGAAAAATCAGGTGGACTGTTGGTTTATTTACAAACATTACAACTGCTTATTATTGATACAAATAGTTTCTTTCACATAACTGTCTCTTCTGGTGTATTCTTCAACTTGTAATCTTTGAGTGCTGCTTGTATAGCATCCTCAGCAAGCACTGAAAAATATATTTTACATATACTAATTCATAACAAGACTCTAGATAAACAGCTATTTGAAGTAATTACCATATTACACCCATTGCTGTTTGGAAACTGCTTTGTTCACATGACAAAGAAATATGTTTTCTCCTATAACAAAGTCAGATAAAATGTGAAAAAGTATTTTTTTCTCCCAAGTCCTACAACCAGCTTTTTTGCTTAACACAATTGAAATTAGGAAGTCAGTCATAGATTTTATTGAAAATTTGTACACATGAAGAGTCTTGGCTGTAAAAGCAGTGAAAAACTGTATATTCAACTATCGAAAATACAGGAAGTAGGTGTCTAATAAATTTGAAAAGTGTTAACATAATACAACTCATTGCTGTCAAGTTGCTGACCAAATATGAAGTTGTTCGGTTCAAAGGAACCAAGAATTTTTTTAAGTACATTCAACATATTGAAATATTCAGAGAATTGGAAAAAAAGAATTTAGATTTATGATATAACAAGTTTCAGTGAGATAGACCACAGCGGAAACGAAATATAACAAAAGTTCAGAACTTGAGTTTCATTTCTCAAAAATTGGGAGTTGGGTACCCTGTGTACTAGTATGATAAGGTATATATATGAATTTTTGTTTTCAGAGATAAGTGCCTGTGTTTGACAGCCTGTATAATAAGGTATTTAACAATTCTATGATAAATCTAATGATTGATCCAGTTTGGAAGAATATTATTTTATTTGTGTATAGATGAAGCATGTAAAAACAAGCTTTAAGGTATGTAGTAAATGGTCTGTCACAGATTTTGGTAAAATTTTTCATACAACTTTGGCTTATTGAACTGTAGCTGAAAGTCAAAAAAATAATGCAAATATCTTTTCTATTTTCTGTAAAATTACCAAATCAATTCTTACAAAATAGGTGAACATTTGTTAAGAAGCACATGAAATTGTCAAAAACATTCTTAAATTTGTCTTTAAATCATCAAATTTCCAATTTCAAATCCATAGATTTTTTTTAGCCCATTTACTGTACCCTTGACCTTAAGACAACCCATCTGCAGTATTGGAAGAGAAAAGATATGGAAGGATTCAAATCATTATAAGCAGAGCCAAACACAACACTCTTGTGAAATGCTAGGTTATGTCTAATATATGTAAGGTACAATATCTGGGTACATGTTTAATAACAGGTGGTAGACTGTTATAACTGATGACAACAATGTAAATATAAAAATAAAGAGATGTGGTATGATTGCCAATGAGACAACTATCCACCAAAGTCCAAATGAAGTGGATGTAAGCAATTATAGGCAACCGTACAGCCTTCAACAATGAGAAAAACCCATACCATATGATCGGCTATAAAAGGCCCTGACATGAAAAATATGAAACAATTCAATTGAGAAAACTAACGTCCTAATTTATAACAAAACAAATTACGAAAAAAACAAATATGACAGACATGAACCAACGACAACAACTGAACTACAGGCTCCTGACTTGGGACAGGCACATAAGGAATGTGGTGGGGTTAAACATGTTTGTGAGTGCTCAACCCTCCCCTAACCTGGGACAGTTTGCTGGCTGTAGACTGTTATAACTGATGAGAACAATGTAAGATTACTGGCGGTAGACTGTTATAACTTATGACAATAATGGAAGTTTACTGGTGGTAGACTGTTATAACTTATGACAATGAGGGAAGTTTACTGGCGGTAGACTTTTATAACTTATGACAATAATGGAAGTTTACTGGCGGTAGACTGTTATAACTTATGACAATAATGGAAGTTTACTGGCGGTAGACTGTTATAACTTATGACAATAATGGAAGTTTACTGGCGGTAGACTGTTATAAATTATGACAATAATGGAAGTTTACTGGCGGTAGACTGTTATAACTTATGACAATAATGGAAGTTTACGGGCGGTAGACTGTTATAACTTATGACAATAATGGAAGTTTACTGGCGGTAGACTGTTATAAATTATGACAACAATGTAAGTTTACTGGCCGTAGACTGTTATAACTTATGACAACAATGTTAGTTTACTGGCGGTAGACTGTTACAACTTATAAGAATAAGGTAAGATTATTAGTGGCAAATTGTAACTACTTACTAGAACAATGTAGTTTTACAGGAGGCAGACAAAGTTCTTTAGCAATATCTGTATTCTTTATCCCCTTTGCTTCATCAACCTGCAATATAATGGAATGAAGTTGTTCACTAGTAACTTGGAAGAGTAATATAAATCATCTCTTTCAGTTTGTTTCGAGTTTTTTTGGTCCATTATGTCCCTAAGAAGTGGTGAGCAACTGCTATGTGATAGATGAGACAATAATGGATTCTCGATTCTCCATCACTATGTTGCCTGGTCTATTGCCTTGCCTACCTGTATTTCATATATTTACTATGCTTAAACTTCAAAGTAATAAATCACTGTGTACTTTTTTCGGTATACAACTGTCATTTTACTTTGTTTTTTATCTAAATATGTCAAACAGTTTAAATCTATTGAACAATTTCATTAAATAAATTTCTTAAGTTCATGAAGTTAGCTAGTTTAATAGATATCAAATATTTTGTCTGTGGGATTTTCAATGTCATGGCCAAAACAGAATATATAGCATGTTATTATTTTAAATGATCTCCCCTTTTCATTGACAATGGTACATATGTATCAAGAAAACTACCATTTTATATTGCGGTATGTAAGACATACAAATGTGAATGTTCATGTTTAGAAATTTGTGTTTGTATTTAGATGGGCACATTTTGAGTATTTTTTTTCGGTGATGATACAAATGTATGAACCATACATTTTAGATCTTCAGCAAATATATAAAGTTACAACATTGTTATTAAAATTATACCCAGACTTACTGATTTGCCTTTGATCCATTCTGTTGCTAGGGAACTTGAAGCAATGGCTGATCCACAACCAAAAGTTTTAAATTTAGCATCAACAATTTTCCCATTGTCATCAACTTTTATCTGCAATATAGAATTTGAATTTGTCAATTTTATGCATACATACAGTTAATTCTTTATAATTAAGAACAATATATTAAAGTACTATATAAATAACACATATAGCTGAGAGGGTGATAGAGCAGATTGTTCCCCCAGAGAAAACACAATTAACTGTGTCGAAGCCAAGCTATCACCCTTTTAGCTATGTGTTATTTACTTTATTATACCGAATGTTCTCTGTTATTTACTGTCTGTTAAATTTCACATCTTGTACATAAGTCATCCCTGTTTAGTAAAGCGCACAAATGATCAAGCATCTCCGTGAAGGGTAATAGAGTAAATTGTCTACCTCCTATTAACCAATCAGAATCCCGCATCTTGACATGAAGTATAATAAAGCAGATTGTTACCCCGAGAAAAAACATAGTCATACAAGGCGAAGCCAATGTTGACAATGTTTTTTCAAGGGGTAACAATCTGAACAATCACCCTCTCAGCTATGTGTTTATATTTAATTTATTATACTGGATGTTCTGTATTAATTCATATTTACATATGTATTGTCTTTTAAATTCTAAATTGAAAGTACATTACTATGACGTCATGTACTTAACAATAAGGTCTGAGGCCAAACAAAACAAAGAACTTGAGTATTGTCTTTAAAACATTGACTCCAATACTATTCATTGTCCTTTAAATGATTGATTTTTGATTGGTCTGCATGAGGGTGACATTCAAAAAATTGTCTCCCACTAAGCCATGGGATAAAGTAAATTATCACCCTCGTATTAACCGATCAAAATCTGACATTTTGACATGAAGTATAATAATATAAGATGTACATTGTATAAACAAAGACAACTGCTAATGTTGTAATGATCATGAGAATTCTAATTTAAAACAGACACATGTGACAGGGTAAATCTACTTTTGTGATAGAAAAACAAAGGATATGGGGTATCCATCCATGACACAAAATCAGTACATGCACAGCAAAAAATACACAAAAAGCAAAGGAACAGTGCTTTTATTGCTGTTCTTCATCTCAAAGTCAGTGATGCCTTCAACAAAAAAACGTCTCACCTCCCTACAAGTTTAAGACAGCCCTAGCATTGGCTTGAGAGGAATGTTTGCAAAAATAGTTTGGATAGACTTTGTAAGATGTAACACCACCAAATCGGGCCCGGTCAAAAAAGAACATACTGGAAAGTTGGAAAATACTGGAAAGTAGTACATATTTAAAACAAAATAGTTCCTACACATAGTTGTAAATATGAAAACTCTAACTGCCCCCTTTTTCAGAACAACAACAGGAACAAGAGATGTGCAATAAAAAACAGTAAATCAAAGCATCTTTAATGTTGTGATCCAGCCATATTCATAGCTAGCCTGATATTCTTTCTGACCATACTTTTTTCTAATTTTTTTTCTCTTTTCATTTCCAATCTTACTGTAAAATTTCTATGTTATTGTCCAAAGGTAGGGAATTTCACAATATTGATGCAAATATAGATATATATACTGATCTTTCAATTTTAGACTCTGTCAGATTTATTTTTGACAAGAATGGAAAGGAAAATCATCACACAAGTAATATATTTTTATATGCCATTAATAATGACAGGTTTAATAATTTCCAGAAAGAGGCCTTATCAACACTTTCTCAACAACATATATTAAATAAAATCTGAATGTACAAATACCTAATGCTGATATATTTCCAATTACTGTGAAATGGCAATATAATGGATTGTAGAACAAACAAATAAATTTTATTGCAGAAAATGCTCAGGTAAGAGTTATGCAATTTTGTTTAATATTTCAACCAAATTTCTGATAATTGTAACTAATTAATTAGAACTTGATTATTGACTTATGTCAGATGCTAAGAGCACTGATTTTACAAGTAAAGTAAAATTTGCTTGCATTTTTTATACATATTTTTTTTCATTTTAAGTATTTTCTTTAAAAAAAAACCACATCAGATTAATCATTCAGCTAGCTAGCAAAATTAACAGAATATTTTAATGTAGTGTAGATCAAAATAAATAATACATTTGTAGGTTTACTACTGTGGTCAAGAATGTGTGTATTCAGTTAGGTGTGTAATAAATTGTGTCTATTAAATTATGTAACAGGTCATGAGATATTAACTGTTTTGAATTAAGCATGGGGTTGTTTCTAATTAATACTTACACCTTTGAGTGTAATTATTTGAAAATCATGACAGTTAATAGTCATTCTGACTCTTACTTGCCTATGGAAAGAATTTGAGTAATACCATTTCAAAAAAGTGTGGGAATCAACTCAGATATATTAATACACATGTTGACCTACATTTCATTGAACAATAATTTACACAAGCACAAGATACTAATATAATACTTTCAAAATTCTTATCAACTGATTCAATTGATGTACAAATACTTTTTCAAATTAATTCATAAATAGTAAATCATCATAAATTTTGATTTAGAAAGGAACTATATGCAAGTGTATATCTAAATAAAGTCACTATTTGACCAATCTTTTCTTAATTTAAGGTCAAATAACATGTCAAAAGTTTGCAGTTGATGATTAAAATGGTGTAGAAAGTTTCTGAAAGTCATAAAAATACATAATTAGTTTCATGATATGTCTTCAACTTAGTATTCAGCACCATCTCCAAAACCAGAGTGATCGCATAAATCCAGCATGGCTGAATCAAAAAACTAATTTATTGATGATACAGACAACAACAGCAAAGGTAAAACCTCAATGTTATTCGATCAGCCGATATAGAAATCACCACTGTTTTACATTCTTACATTATGTATATATTGGCTGTTGTATTTTCAAATAGATTTCATACAGTCATTTCATGATCATTGCAGAAAAAACTTTGGTCTTGTGCAACAAAAAAAAATTCAAAAACAAATACAAACAAAAATCAACCAAACAAACAAGAAAATGCTTCACTGAGTGCAGCTGGATACGACCACATAGGTCCAACCCTGAACAGTTGGGGCAAAAATGAACACAATATTAGCGCTTGAAACAGGTCTGAATTTGGATTCTAATTAAATATTTGACACATAAAAGGTTTCTGACACAGAATAACTGTTGTCAAAGAACTTAGAATTGGTAATTTGATTTGAATTTATATTCAATTTTTTGCTTTTGTGCAATACACTTTGCTGTTGCGAATTGACCCCACCTCCCCAACAAAAAAAAAAAAAAATTTACCCCCTTTTTTTTTTTTTGCTTTTATGCAATACACTATGCTGTTGCATATTAACCCCCCCCCCCCACCCCCACTTTTTTTTTGCAAAAAATATCAAATAATATTCGAAGAATTTTTTTTTTCATTTCTGAAATTGACCCCCCACAATTTCTTTTTACCCCCCCCCTTTTTCCCCCAAAAAAATTCTTTCCCTCAAGATATGGTCATAATCGCAATTCAAATTTCCACAAGTTATTGTCTGGAAACTAGAAAAATGCTTATTTGGGCCCCTTTTTTGGCCCCTAATTCCTAAACTGTTAGGACCATAACACCCAAAATCAATCCCAACCTTCCTTTTGTGGTTATAAACCTTGTGTTTGAATTTCATAGATTTCTATTGAATTATACTAAAGTTATTGTCCAGAAACCAACTGTCTATGGATGACGACGTGATACCAATATACGACCGCAATTTTTTTTGCGGTCGTATAAAAATACAAATCACATTGATTTAAAAACAACACTATAACAGATTTGAATGTTATTTTTTTTTTATATGTATGATTAATGTTCGTGTACTTAATATATCAATGAATGATATCTGAGATTTCACTGTAAACAGTTGCATATCGAACCAACTGAGAAATGTATACTCCATAAGAAGTTGCCAAGGAAAGGAAGATTTACCATGTTAATCGGAAAGAGATTTATCTGATTCTCATAAATTTGGTATGAAGATCACTGGGAGAAATTCACATATCTAGATCCAAATTATAACAATATCAAATTCCAAGAAATAAATGTTAAATAATCTTATCCGTAAAGATCCTTTATTACATTATATTATAAATAAATTAAATTCATGTTGATATTTACAAAATGTACATCACATTAACATGTCATCTTTCTTACTACCAGTATGCAGTTAATTTGCCTGTCATGATGATGACAGGTGATAATGATCATGTTTACCATAACAGTTTGACTGTACACAATGTTATCTTACCTGTAATTTCATGACATCACCACAAGCAGGAGCACCAACCAATCCAGTTCCCACATCCTTGTCACTCTTATCCATAGATCCAACATTTCTTGGATTTTCATAATGATCAATTACCTGTTATTGAAATAAAAAACATTGAGATTTAATGCCTGCACAAGTGCTGAAAGATGTTGACTCTGCCAAGTGCAAATATAATTTTTGTTGTTGGCTGATATTTATTCTAATCTTTTATCTGAGATACTGTCTCATGTAAAATCCATGATCTTTTTATTTTTATAAAAGTGGTCACCAGATGTTGATCCAGGGTTGTGAAAAATGGAGTGCTCTCACAGAGTTTACAAACAAATACACAGGGAAACACTTTCGCTTTCCCTCTTGATAGTTTACAGGAAGATGTGGCCTTATATTCAGGGGAGGGACAATATGTGCTTTACCAGCCTAATACCACGATGAATAAAGCCACCACTGTTTTGAGAAGCAAATATTTCAGGAAAGGAATTATAGTTATTATTATAGCATCTACGGCTGGCAAAGTACACATGTATAAAGTGAGGGATGAAATCACAGGATACCACTTTGACTTTAATTGTTAAAAAAGATTTATTAGCGCCAATATAGATATTATGTAAACAGGCAAATTGTTTAATTCAAATTTATTCAAACTGCATTTTTGTTTGTTAGTGGACTTTCATTTTGACTAGTTGGTTAAATGACTGGGTTAAACAGGTACCATGTACAGAGTAGGAAATGCTTATTCTCCCGGGGCACATCATTTCACTCCCAAAGTTTGTTTCAGTGTATATCACTTCCTGACTTGAGATATATTATGGTCACCATCACGATTTGGTTGACTATTACGGAAAGTCCATTTCACAAATGGTTATGAATATGCTCCAGTTGCGGTACTCCTTATTCTTTTTTTTAATACTGACTTTTACTTACTACCGACTTATTTGTACCTTTGGACATTGCAATGGGTGCCGCATTCATATCATGCCATAGATTTCCATTCCAAACTAGAAAATCAGCCATAGATTAGGTCACTAAAAAATTTGCCATAGATTAGGAATTTAAAAAATCTGCCATAGATTTGGGATGGCATGACGTCATATTTACCATAGATTGCGAATCTGTCATAGATCTGAAACCATGGATGTGAGCCCTACATATATATATAGTTGATAAAGTTAATGATACATACATGTAATAACCTTTGTTGTGAAATCATGGCATAAAATGTAAATATATATATATAGATTCATTTGTGTACGTAGATATAAGAAGATGTGGTATGAGTGCCAATGAGACAACTCTCCATCCAAGTATATAGTTTGAAGACATGAATAAAAGTAAACATTTCATTTATTTTGTGTACTGTATGTACAAAGTACATGTTTTGAAATTCTTAAATGAAATCCAAAGGTAAGTCTTGAAAACTCATAGGATTGTGTAGTTATGAAAAGGACCTCTTGCTTTTGCGCCAATTAGCATTTCAAAGTAATCTTTTTATGCAGAATCCTGTACAATTATCTTATATACATTAATAGTCATGTGAATGCATGGGTTCAATCAATGGGTACAGTCAAACAGGGTTTAGGCCAGCAAAAAGTACAATCTCAGCATTTAAAAAATATAATCAGTGTTTAATGTTTCTATTTTGGTTTATTAAAGAACAGTCAGGGGTGCTACTTAAACAAGTGATTTCATCATCACTTATTTCAGTGATTTGATAAATTCAGTTATCACCTATTTAAGTGATTTAAGTGTTTTCTTTGATCTTCAAATGCTAATTTCATTGATTTTCCATATTTTCACAATCTTTTCTATAATTTTCCTACATAAATCAATTATCCTTTTTTCTTTGTATATTAATTTCACCAGTGCGCTTGGGCAGTAAGTTAGTTCGCTTGGGCAGTAAGTTAGTTCGCTAAAGCTTTTAAAAGTACCCTTGGGAATTTTTCTGTAATCAAAAATTCATTAACTACTCTTACTATCAGACAAAGATCAACAATACTAGGTAACCTGATTGGTTTTCTTTAGAGTTAGAATGATCTACTTCAAGGTTATGACCTGATCTACAAACTATTCCAGTTTTTGCATATTTTAAAAAAACTGTAAAAGTGTCAGGCTTATCAAGCAAAAGACAATTTCTGCATATACATAGTTGTTTTTTCAATGGAATTGTTGTCTTTTTACCAATAAAAAAAACAAGCTTGTGGGAAAAATATCAAGAAAATGTTATAAACACTTATTAAAGTGATTACATTTTAACTTCTAAAATTACTTGTTTCAGTGATTTTAAAAAGTCTGTGAGAAAATTTTTAATATTTCACAGCCAAAATCACTCGAGGGAGTGATTCTGAAATCACTTGTTTAAGTAGTACCCCTGACTGAAGAATATACTATATGATGAATATGTAATATTATGCTATCAAAACTATGTTGTAACATTATTATTAAAAATCTCTTTTCAATATAGATCTTTAATTTATATTATTTACCTGTATTAATTATTGGCACAAACCAAATGTATTGTTTTGGAAATAATTAAGTAAGTGTATGTTTAGTTGTTTGGCAGGAAAGTCAGTGGACAGGTCGAAGGTTATAGGGTTTTTCGTCAGGGAGTCCTTTTGTTTCATTAATAGGGGAACATTGATGAGGGAACACCCCTTTCAGGAAAATAAAATATTTTTACATTACCAGGGGATGATAAGTAAATGAGAAATACCATTAGAGTCTGCCAATGTTCTTACATGTACAAATGTAGAGCTATACTATTGAGGGTACACTTTGTACTAGGTACAAAGTGAACATACAAGTTGATTGGAATTGACAGAGAAGACTGTCCCACTTGGGAGGACAGACTGTACCAGTACACACTGTCTTGTAGTGACAGATCGTCCCATCTACATTGATCTTTATTTCATTTATAGTAGATGTTATTGTTTGAATATATTATTGTCTATACTTGGATCACGCCTCTATTGTGCTCTTTCCAATAAAATATTGAATTGAATATTTATATATATAGTTGTTTGTTGTTGCTTTATATCTGCAAAGAGCCAGTGTTTATATTTTAGATCATTATACATAACATAAATAGATAGTTATAGATTGCCATATTGTTTATGGACAGCTTGAATCCAAGTACTTACTGGAACAACTGTTTAAGATATAAGATATAAAATATAAAATAGAGAAATGTACAATTTAAATAAAATGTTTTATTGAGTGATGAATTACCTTGCGGTACCTCCCCCTCAGTGGAGATAAGATTATACATGTATCAATGAAACAATATTTTCTTTTTAATAATGGAGGGGATATATATATATAAGTATATATAAAAGTAAATAGATATGTGTTAATTCATATCAATGTTTATTGTAAAATTTTGTTAACAATCATGTTACCGAATGATATTCTTTATCTTTACAAAGGGAGACAACTTTTTTAACTCTTTGGCAGCAACTCAAATTTCCCAGTTGACCGTTTTTTCTGTCTACAAACATGTCATGTCAGAAAAAAGTAGGATGTATTTGAAACTTAATTATCTGGTTCACAGAAAATCCTTATTCAAAACATTGTTAATCTGATATAAACAAAAAATAAACGTGATTTTGTATGTTAAAGTAAAGGACACTTGCATAATTTTTTTACGTAAGACTATGACATCATCTACGACTACAAATGTTGCCTAAAAGATGTACTGAGGTACACATATACGCCTACATTTTTGTGATAAAGCGCAACCAAAGACGTGGTTCGGCTTTCTCCCACTGATCGAAGAATTTGTCCAACTCGTAATAGAGCCATGATGTTGTTTTGCATGTAGTCTAGTCACTACTTCCAGTTGACTGTATCCGCCAATAAAGTTTTATATTATTAACGTGTCCGTGATTTGATATACAAATTGATGTTCAATTGACATGCATTAATGACCGTCTTTCTATAAACACACTCGTTAAATCATTTGAAGGCCATTTATGATTACATGCGCACAAGCTTTAATCAGGCATAATTGTGCGTAGTAATATAGATATCTACTTTCACTTCTCAATTCTGACCTGAAATTGAAAGTAGGTGACATTGCTGGTTAGTTCTGATATTCGATATTCAGATGACAAGCATTGTAATAAATGTAAAATACAATGTTTCTTCGTCCTTTACAATCGAAGTAGATACTGACTGGAATGTATGGAAAGTGAAAGGAGAAATTTCCAAAAGAATAAAACTACCACCCGAAGAAATACAATTGATATTTACAGGCTGTGTACTGAAAAATGATGCTACTTTAAAGGTAACTAAAAAACTAGACTATGTCACCCGTTGGACAAATGTAAACTTAACCCATACTAGGATTCAAAACCAAATCATAATACAGCACTATTGTGAAAATACATGTATGATCCATACCAGAGGGATTTGAACCCTCTAGCACTGGATCTAAAGCCCACACTCAAACCAACTGAGCCAAATAAGATTTTTCTTCACCAGTTAGACTCCCTTTATATCAACAGCACTGGAACCTAACTTGGTTAAAGTTACAGAAGATCTTCTTTAGCTGTGTCAGTCGATGCAGGACGCGACGTCCATACTGCCACATCGTCCATAGGATGTAACGTCCATACCTTGAAAAGATGTATCGGCCATAGGACAACAACGTCCATACTTTGTGGAGATGGGTCATCCATCGCTTTTTTTTCACAAATAAATTTTATTTATAAAGTATTGTGATAATGTATGTAGTGGGTCTCATTGGGGTCTAAGCGTGACCCGGGATTGCAGATTTTTTGTAAGCGTGACACGTGAAAGTCAAATTATTGTACCATGAAAACGGGAAATGAAGTCTAGCGGGACACGGGAAATTACAAAATAATGAGAATTGCTTATGTACATAGTGTAAGCGGGATACGGGAATCTGACAAAACAGTAAGCGGGATCCGTGATCAGAACCCCCCAATGAGACCCCCTATGTAGATGGTTATCATAACTCATAAATGTATTATGCTGTATTTACATTATTTGCCATATTTTTATATGTTATACACTTGGAATACGCATTATATGTATCATATATAAAAGTGCTTAATCTAATAAAATATTTATATTATTTTCTAAATGAATTTTTAATATTTTGTGTAAACAAACTGAACAATGAAACAAATGAAAATGAATATCCAAAATGGGAGAATTTCTGTCATAGTTAAAACAATAAGTTTAGTTTTGAAATATAAAACTAAGTAATCAGATCATGATTTATTTTAAATTTTAAGAAGATTGTTAATTGTTTATCATTTCTTTGATGAACAATAGTATTAATTATGCTTTTGTCAAAAAATTGTAAAGGAAATACAAAACGAGATCACTGTAAAAACAACAGCTGAGTTCCAGTGGAGACAAACATACATTGGATAGAGAAATTCTTGTTCTTACGAGAATAATATATGGTACGCAGTACTGCATAGATGGAATACGCTGTTTAGTTTCTACTCTCTGTTAAAAAGCTGTAAATCAAAGTCATAGTAGGGATGAATTATCAATAGCATTAACTTAAAACCAGTCTTCTATAAGTCTAGTTGTCTTGTTGAACAGCAGATGTACAGAAGTAAAAATTAATATATGGGTCATTTTCAAAAAATGTCGAATTTTCAGTACACGTACTATGCTAAAATTTGTATTTCTAATGGAAAATGCAGTGGTAAGTGTTGAAATGAAAGTTTGTAGAATTTATGAGTCAGAACATTAATAATAAACACGATTTAGATCTATTTTAATATAAGTCTGATTTTTGCGTAATTTATGTGCGTAGAGTGTAGTAGCTAGTGTGTGTCAGAGCAACACATTTCAAATGATTTTTTCCCTACTTTCTGATTGTCTTGATATCTGCAAAAGGGACTTTTTTAGAATGTTAATAATAATTTAACTCTAACAAAAAATTGCAGCTTCTTTATTATTAATATGTAACATTTTTTTCTACAAACTAAATTCAATCAGCGTACATGAAGTTCATGTCCATCCTGTTACCGCTACTTAGATCAACTGTTAAATTGTCCTCCCAATGAATATTGAACTAGTCAGTGTTGATTTCAAAAGCGCCAAATAATCTAAACATTTAACACAGCATGTTTCTTGTATAACAGTGTAGAGAAAAAAAAATTCTAGACATTTAGTGAAAAAAAAAAATGGCTACCCTTTTGTCATGTCTATGCTGTTACCAACATATTTATTAATTACACCAATATTATACTTGTAAAAAATTGCAATAATGTGTTGGAAACCAAAATCACAACAGAAAACATTATCACTTCGTCAAAGGGAGTAATTATTTTACAACAGCATTAAAAAAGGAAGAAATTTGTCTATCCTGTTATGTCTATCCTGTTACTATGGTTGCTATGGTTACAGTAACAGGATAGAGCATAGTAGACAAAAACGACTTTAAAAGTTTATAATTACATATAGTTGTACACATAAGGAAATGTTTTGTTGTTTGAACTCATCTAAAGGTTATAACGTCTTAATCTTCGCAATTTAGGATTTGTAGATGCAATACTGCTATTGGTAACAGGATAGACAAAAAGGTAACAGGATAGAACTTTATATGGTGATATATCATTAACGTATGTTCCTGTTACCAATAAAATAAAGACAAAAGTAAACCAACATGCGAGGGAATTACTTGATGTTGGGTTTATTAGAAAGAGAGAAAACATACTGATCATTATGAATTGCTATCTTAGACTTGCATTACTGATGGTTATTTTTATAACCTTTGAAAACCAATTTTTTTCAGTACAGCATGGAAAATTGACAAATAATCTATCATTTCACAGAATGAATATATATATAGAAGTTTTTACTCTTGAAAACCATCTTATTGGCTATGAAAAACAAGCTTAAAGTTTTATCTAAACCTCTTCTAAATAACCTGAAATTTCTTTTGAACATGGTAACAGGAGAGACAAAATATTGCACAACATATCAAAAACAGTTTCAATATATTCTTGTATGACATTATCAAGATTGCATCTTTTTATATGTTGTTCTATTAGTACTGTTTGTTTTGATTTGCTTATGACAAGGGTTGTTTGAATTAGTAACTTTAAATCAATTTTGCAATTTCAAAATTCAACATTTTTTGAAAATGACCCATATAGTTGACATTTATACTGACTCTTTCAAACCGGCAAACTTGTACATAATAAATACAACAAAGTCATATTTATGTTATAACTATGAAATAATACTTGTTGTATTATTATGTTATATGTTATAACCACAATGGAAAAAATACTTAAATTATGGACGACACGTCTTTACAAGGTATGGACGACACGTCTTTACAAGGTATGGACGACACGTCTTTACAAGGTATGGACGACACGTCTTTACAAGGTATGGACGATGTGATGGTATGGCAAACACATCCTATGGATGACGTGGAAGTATGGCCATCGCGTCTCGAAAGCGTGTCAGTTAGAGTTCTGCCTTTAGATCTTGATGTTGTCGGTTTGGATCTGGTGCCATCCATGGAATTTTTCTACAATGCTTAACTCAAAATCACAATAGCAAGCTTGAATTAACACACTAAAGGGAATAGTCACTGCTTGTTTATTCTAGTATATATATATATATATATATATATTTTTTTTTCTGTTTTCTGTTTCTGTTTTCTGTTTATTGTTTTCTGTTTGGTATAAAATTTGTAGTTAAGATCCATTTATTACACCTTGTGATCCGTTTATTTGGCAATCGCCAATGGCAGTCAGCAGGGTTTAAGAACATTTGTTGTTCGACCTGTTAGTCAAATGCGTTTTGTTAAAATATACTTTTTTCACTTTTTTGATCTTTTGGAAAATGTTGTTTGTGCTGTATTTAGACCCCTCTAACAAGAAATTTGTTTTGCATGCACACGTATAAAAATTGCGGTTTTTATCCAACGCAATCATAGGTTTGAACATTGTTTTCAATTTAGACTTGTTTATATTTTTTCGTTTGGGCTTGTATTATATTTGCCTTCGGGTTTATATGATCCGTTCATCCTATTTTGACTCCTCAAAATTCAAGAGTCTATCCTAAATTGAGGTAAATTATGTGGACTTCCAATAACCGTTTCGATTCCTAACATCACTGAAGAGACATTAATTGTCGAAATCCGGATATGGTGTACAAAAATTCTTTGCACCTTTGTTTGCGGTATACCATCTTTGTCCCAAGTTTATTGTTTTCTGTTTGGTATTAAATTTGTAGTTAAGATCCATTTATTACACCTTGTGATCCGTATTTGGCAATCGCCAATGGCAGTCAGCAGGGTTTAAGAACATTTGTTGTTCGACCTGTTAGTCAAATGCGTTTTGTTAAAATATACTTTTTTCACTTTTTTGATCTTTTGGAAAATGTTGTTTGTGCTGTATTTAGACCCCTCTAACAAGAAATTTGTTTTGCATGCACACGTATAAAAATTGCGGTTTTTATCCAACGCAATCATAGGTTTGAACGTTGTTTTCAATTTAGACTTGTATATATATATATCTTAAATTCATGGCCACCAGAATGGTAATTAATGTACATTTTTTGTAGATAGTACATTATCTTCTGATAAATGGAAAATTTATTTCATTAAAACCTAATCTGCTACCTTAAATAATGACCTTAAATTGCATATCAGTAGAAAGCTGGAAAAATGAAGTAAATAGATATACTTTTTATTATATAGTAATGGAATTAAATTAGGGAATGGTCATTATTTATCAGCTGAGGAGGTCGGTTCAAATTTTTCACATTAAAAGGTTTTGTTGGCAACCCCCCCCCATGATTCTTATGAACCACATAATGACCCCCCCCCTGAGAACATAGTTTGAAAAGTATGACCCCCACCCCCCACCAAACAAAAATTTCATTCATTAACAGTTGGGAGAAGATGAAACTGCAAGCTACATAGTACAAAGTTGCAGGCATTGACTTGAAAAATAGCTATGAGAATTATGAGGACATTGACACTATCCGTAACAGAATACAGCATAAAAAGATTTTCCTTGATTGGGGCAATGATTGCAGGACTCATTTTCTTTGATTTTGAACTGATATTTTATAATACATTCTACACTATAGTTCTGTTATTTTATATAGTTCTGTTATCTTATTCTGATAAGTAGCTTGAACTAATTAATTTGATGAAGATAATTTACTTTGTCTGGTTAGAAAACACTAGTAAGTCATATTCTGTAAATATTATATTGCCTTGATGTTTCATCATGACCTTTCATATTCTTTGTTTTGAAGCTGATGCAACTGATTTTAGGAAACATTTTTCAGTTGTATTCTTCTTTGAGAAAACCCTGAGTATACAATAGAGTTTTACTTCTTTTTTTTTTTTTTCTTTTTTCTTTCAAATATGAATATCTGACACATGCAAGAAGAAAAATGGACAAAATAAGCATTTAAATGAAAAAAAAAATATATTGCATTTTAACTTGAACCTTCATGAACAGAATGAAGTCATATCTTAATACAGATTTTCCCTGGTTTTGAAACTTCTAATCCTTCAAAAGTTAAGCTTTTAAAGGCACAATTAGCCAAATTTGTTTATATACATGAGCATGTGCTCTTATAAATGAATGAAATGACGTAAAAAGAAGAAACAAGTTGCTTTTTAAAAAAAAAAAGTCAATACGTGAACCTTAGAACTTTTTTTATGCTAATTATTATTTCAACTGAATTGTAAATTATATCTCAGTATTTTCATTACCATGTGTGTGGAGGATGATATTTTCTTTTTTTGTAAATCAGGACAATTATGGCATGTTGAGAGTGGTGTTATATATAAAGTAGGGAGATAAGGAATGTTTTTATTTCAATAGTTCATTTCTGGATGGTGTGTAAAATGCAGAAAAAAGATGCTACAACAAAATTTATATTTTGTAATATATTTTAGCGGTATGTTGACGATTCTGAAAGAAAAATTAAATGTTTGGGCTTGTTGTTTGTGATGTCGTATAACAAAAAAAATGATTATGCATATGCCATGCAGCAGTGGTGAAAAACTAATACAGAGTCAGAAATAAAATAACGAATGTCTTTTATAGAGACTGAGTGATGATAGATACATGCAGAGATAAGATAACGAATTTCTATTGATAGTAATTAAGGCTCTAAATTTTTATCAAACTTAAATATAAATAAGGAAACAAAAGCAATAATTATAATAAATGACCGCGATTAAATCAGGTAGTTAGTTTTTCAAGTATGAGTTGTTTTACATTGTCATTTTGAGGCCTTTTATAGCTTACTATACGGTATGGGTTTTGCTTTTCTCATTGTTGAAGGCCGTACGGTGACAAATAGCTGTTAATTTCTACGTCACTTGGTATCTAGTAGAGAGTTGTCTTATTGGCAAACATACTAATCTTCCTTTTTTATTTAAAGAAACCATACTTAATCTTATATAAAAATACAACTTAGGTTCTGGAAATTAGGACGAAATTTAAAGGCACCTTTTACGTGTGTGTTAGATGCAGAATTTACAAGTCACATCGAAAATGAATATACGTTTGAGTCCTTAAAATAATTCTAACGATATGAAACGATTTACAGACACTGAGTGATATTCTTTGGAGTTGAGGCGATAACTCACTATTTATTTAAAACTTATGGTAAATGAAATTAGACAAATTGAGGATTGCTATATTCCTCGATGTTTGGCATTACAAACTATTATAAATTACTACCGGTATGGGGTTTGCGAGGATAGATTAGCAATTGTCCAAAAACATATAATAACAAGAAGATGAGTATTACCTATTCATGATTCTTTTATAAAATTAACTTTTTAAGCATGTGTCTCCCAACAACTATCTCATATGTGAACTTAAGTATAGGGGAAATTTTGTTCGCTATGTTAAAGAAATCTTCAACTTGCTCTATTTTGCCTGTGAAGACCATAACACCGTCATCTCTATATTGACAGTGTAATTTGATGTTTTCTTTCCATTTGAACTTATCTAAGATAATTATTACAGCCGATTTCATTGAGTGTGTAGGAAAAGGTAAAATCTTTGGTTAGCTTGCTTGCTAGCTGAACCGTGAAGTCATTATTAGGTTAGGTAAACCACCCTCCTATATGAGTAGACTAGTCCCACAGATAACCAATTCTATCAGTCTGTCGGACTAGTCTACTCATAAAGGAGGGTAGTTTACCTAACCTAATAATGACTTCACGGTTCAGCTAGCAAGCAAGCTAACCAAAGATATTACCTTTTCCTACACACTGATTGAAATCGGCTGTAATAGGACAGACAGATGCAGATATGTGCATGATGGTGAAAATATACCACCTATGGAGGGGGCACTCCTATAACTTGTTTGTATAACTTTCCATTAAACTCAAATTTATTGTTTTTAAGAATAATTAAACAAATGCAGTTTAATCTTTTTCGTTGAGAATCTTTAAAGGATATTCTTTTGTGTCAATTAATTCTTCTGCATTGATAACTGTTTCTTTTAAATTATCAATGATCATATTTGTGTACATTTACGTTTCATCATAGGCAATAAGAATGCATTCCCTTTTTACCTCGTGTGTTTTATTAATGAAATCTTTTGTATCTTGAACTTAAAAGTTATGCCTCTACAAAAATGGTTTTATAATAGATCATTTATCTCTCAATGTGTCTCGTGGGAGAGTTACACTTATTGATGATCAGTCGTAAGGAACATTAATTAATGTCTCCTACTAGTTGACCATTTCGCAATGCCTCATTAATTATTTCTAGATTAATTTAATGAATGTTTGAAAGACTGAGGTACATGTGTCCATGTTTTGAATCATTATTATTCTTTAAGAATTATACGTATGGGGAATCTATTTCTTTTTTTTCTACATAGATTATCAACTATATCTTTTATTACCATATAGCATATAAGTGAGTTAGCGATCTGTGTAAAGTTCTTTATTGCCAAGTTTTAGATATCTTAAATGCTCCGTATGGAGGTGTTCTTAATTGCAGGAAACTAATACAGATAAGAAGAACAAATGTTCCGAATTCCAATAATTAAGGTTCCGAATATTCCTCCATAGACTATATTTCTAACTAATAAATATGCGTGAACCCCTGAGGGTTCACGCAAAAAAAAAAACACAGAAAATTCTTTGTTCCAATTTATTTGACTGCAACCTATAAAATTGTACAAATTTTATATATAACCTTTCAATAATGATTTTCCCTCTATTATGAATAAATGTAAATTTACTGTCCGACCTGGGACTATTATACTAACTAGTATAATAGTCCCAGGTCCGACACAGAATTATTTGTGAATGAAAAAAAAACATAAAAAAAGAGTAAACAATATGTCTCAATTCTTTTAATGCCTTTATTAAAATTTTGAAGTTTTATAAATGTTTTGTGGATTTTAATTTTCTCATCATATAGATATTTTTTTATTTCAATTCCACTCTTGGAAGTACAACTGAAAATAGCACATTACAAATATTACTGATTTTATGGTTCTAGTCCTTCCTGGATCAAATATGTACAAAAATGTACATGATTTATTTGAGATAAAGAAATATATATGTAAGTTAATAATTATATGAACATTCAATATTTTATTTCAATGTGAAAAATGTTTTACGAAACCCAAGTGTATTGTTTTGTGTGTGTGTGAATGCCGTGCTGCCCAACAAGGGCCCTCGATTTGAACATTAAAAATTCTGATTATTATTCGATATCTTTGTAATAATTTCATAAAATAATTATACATATTTACAAATTATTTTAGAACGTACACACCTTTTACAGTCCTATATCTATCCTAAGAAATCGCATTAAAATGATTTGAACACTTTAGAAAGTCGTAATACACATGTTCAGAAACATTTAAAACTCATTGTTTCCTGTGGTCAAAACTAGAGACAAATGTTTTATACAGTTGTTAATCTTGAGATAAGTCGGGTTGTAAACTTTCACATCCTATGGATAAAGGGTCAATATAATAGTTCCATGGGATAATGAACCATAACAGATGACTGTGATAAGGAGTGACCAGATTCACTACCCTTGAGAAATTAGGCATCCTGCTAGTGCTGTACATGATCAATGATTTATTAATGACAGAAATTGTTTAAACGATTGCACACTCACTTCAATATTGTCAACAATTTATATGCTTGTCAGACATAAAAACTTTCATTGTGTGACCCCCCCAGTCAAATAAAATTTTTGATGGCAACCCCCCCAGCTGTATGATATTTTTGGTAATGACCCCCCCCCCTAAAATGAACCGACCCCCTCAGCTGATAAATAATGACTGTTCCCTTATAGAAATAATACTTTTTTTAAGTTAACAAATTTTTCTTTGCATAATTCTTTATAATAAGTATGACAATGATTAATTAATAGTCAACTGCAGTTTTGTTTAAATGTTTTGTTGACTACTCTTTGAGTGACCCATCCTTTTTGTTGACTACTCTTTGAGTGACCCATCCTTTTTGTTGACTACTCTTTGAGTGACCCATCCTTTTTGTGTTTTATTTCCAAGCCAATAGGGATTTTGAAACCCCTGACTAAACTTAAGAGTGCATATGAAAATCTAAATCCTTTTTGTATATGAAAGCAGCAATGCTCACCACTAACCATGGATTGAACTGATCTCTAGAGGTAGGTTAAGAGACTTATCTAAATCAAACAGCCACTGAGACCAATTATCCTGGAAGTAAAATATTTTATTGTTTCATTTCAGGATGTATCTATCTGTAATTGTACAGTAATCCATGCTTTTCAACAAAAACCCCTAATAGTGACAGCAAAGTGTATTTCAGCAGACACTGAGGATGTGAAAAGTGGAAAAGCTAATAGTAAGCATTTATAGTACACTGTGCACAGCTAACAGAATAGCAGAATTATATAACTGGTAATGTTTGTGGTAATCTTATTTTCATGTATTTGTACCTTTCAAGTTTCAACAATGAAAATGTCATACTATTGTCCAACTGTTTGTCTTTTTGTGTGCTTGTCTTGGTTGGAGGGAGAGTCAAGTTTGTTTCAATGGATATTTTTACAAAAATCTTGGCAATGTTTGAATCTATGAAGATTTATCTCTTTTCCAATTTTAGAATTGTTTTAAAGGAGTTAAAAATTATACAATAGAAGCATGCCTTGTGAATATATAATATTTAAAAAAAATGTTTTATTACATAGGGAGAAGCTGCATTTTGAATTTGGCAATTTTTATACCCCACACAAAGTTATAAGAGAAATATATGAATCACTTGGGGGAGGGGGGATGTCATGTATCAAAGTCAGGGGTCTGTGACCTTGACTTTGACCCTTTGGTAGTAAAATGTTCAGTGCATGACTTAATTTTGTACAGTAGCACATAGAAATAATGAGTTACAGCCATAAGTAAGCTATTAAATTTTTATGCTTAACCTTATGACTATATTTAGGTTATCAGGTTTTCTGCACTTTGATATTAGAGAATATCAGCCTTCAACCATAATGTGAATGGAACTGCAAGTGAGTGCAGTGAAGGAGCAAAAATGGTTCACATTGTGTCAAATTGCTGAAATTTAACGATATCTACATGCAGAAAACTTATAATCTGTGTGTCAAACTATTTCTGGTCTTTTTCCTCACTTCTGAGATAGTTTTATTATTGGTTATCCTAACAAAAGTAACTATGATAAGTTCTGCTGTCACATTTTGATGGTGCTGATAACTCCTCCTTACAAATTGTGACGTCACTGAAAGGTTCTGCTCACTTCCCATAGTTGTGATATGAAAATTACAGAGCGACTTAGCAAGGTGTAATAAGTGCAGGGAAGTACAATAAATGGAATTGTCAATTAACTGAAAAGAAAAAGCAATAACCTTTTATTCATGTTATTAGGCTTCTGATTCTGACATGCTTATTACTTCATTCTATTACAGGAGAAATCAAACATGTATATTTTTTGTCGATGCAGTCAGGTATAAAAAAGTATTTCTGTTTTACAGGAGATGTTCACCATTTCTTTGTATATTGTAAGGAACAGTGCCAAAGTTTGTGTCCAGGAAAGTTGAGAGTGAAATGTGCCATCTGTTGTGAAGGTCATATTGTGTTACAAAGGGTAAGCCTTACATTCAGTCTTACTTAAAGGTGAAAGATCTTATAGGAAAAGATCATTCCATTTACAGGGTGTATTAAAAAGTCCACTTGAACTAGAAGGAGATAATTGATTCCAATAAATTTTTTTTAGTACATACTGATTCAACTCGAAGATAGTAATATTTACAAAGTATAAAAAAGTATGCCAAAGAACAGGTTTGAATTTGAAACAAGACAAAATAATTTGCAACAAGGAGAGGTGCCATGACCAAAAATTGGATGTCTATAAAATTTACATGTCTACCACATTGTCTTCTTCAAGCAATTTGTATTCTTAGTGATATATAAAAGGGCTTAAACTAACATGCAATGTTGTTTTCTGTCTTTAGATGAAAGTCATCATGCATGCCTTTACAGTTTTAATGCATATAGATTCAAACACAGTTCAGTTTCATTCACAGTCTCACAAGTCACATAATTGTTTAACATTTTAACATAATGATGTACGGTAGTCATGTGAAATTTAAAAATCTGGAATTTAAAATTGATACTATTAATCAGAAGAGCATTAGTTAAGGAACAAAATAAGCTAAAGAATTAATACATGTAATAGGTTATGGAATTCCTTTTTGAGATATTTGATTTAAAAAAATTGGCAGGAAAAGACTGACACAAACTTTTACCTTATATTTAGCATTGGCATTATTTGGGTCTCAAATCGTAAGAAAAGATATCTAGAATCTGCTTATTTTGGTACCTTTTATGAGCTATTGAAGTCTTCTGTGAAAAGAAAAGTGGGTGATATGGAGCAAAATATTTTACCCTGACCCTGTATCGTTGGAAAAACCCAAGGAGTACGAATATCTGACAAATATTCCTAAACCTGACCTAAGTACATCCTTAAACAATCTTTTTTTTTGCAACTTTCTTTAAAAGGGAGTAATGTGCATTTGTGTATTATTAGGAACCAGAAAACTTTGATGATGTGATGAAGTCTGGTACAATACTATGTGAATGTAAGAGTGAAGGCTGTCAAGGGAATCTCCAAACTACTGTAAGTTGAAACGTAAAAAAAATAATTTGTGTTTTTTTGTAAAATCATATTAAACTACTTCCACAAAGAGAACAAACATATATGTACAATATGATAAATGCAATGTAAAGTATGAATTTTGAAAAGCATCAACATTGAAGATTTAAATCCTTCTAAATAATACTTTGTGATTGTACATAAAAGTAATTCAATAGATATAAGAAGATGTGGTATGAGTGCCAATGAGACAACTCTCCATCCAAGTCACAATTTGTAAAAGTAAACCATTATAGGTCAAAGTACGGCCTTCAACACGGTGCCTTGGCTCACACTGAACAGCTAGCTATAAAGGGCCCCAAAAATGACTAGTGTATATAAAACCATTCGAACAGGAAAACCAACGGTCTAATCTATATAAAAAATGAGAAACACTTATGAACCACATCAACGAACAACAACCACTGAACATTAGGTTCCTGACTTAGGACAGGTGCAAACAAATGCAGCGGGTTTAAACATTTCAAATCCACTTTGTATGACCATATCGTATGACATGTCATGTAATAACAGTTCCATATTACCTGTACCATCATCTATACTGTTTTAATTTACCTCTTAATCATTTAATCATATAATTTGATTTTTAACTTCAATGTGTTTGTAATATGAATAAAAGAAGATTTGGTCAATGTGACAGCAACCCAAATACCAAATATTTAGAAAGCAACATAAATCTTCAACAATAGACAGGTTTCTATACAACATAAATCTTCGACAATAGACAGGCGTCTATACAACATAAATCTTCAACAATAGACAGGTGTCTATACAACATAAATCTTCAACAATAGACAGGTGTCTATACAACATAAATCTTCAACAATAGACAGGTTTCTATTCAACATAAATATTCAGCAATAGACAGGTTTCTATACAACATAAATCTTCGGCAATAGACAGGTTTCTATACAACATAAATCTTCAACAATAGACAGGTTTCTATTCAACATAAATATTCAGCAATAGACAGGTTTCTATACAACTTAAATCTTCAACAATAGACAGGTTTCTATTCAACATAAATCTTCAACAATAGACAGGTGTCTATACAACATAAATCTTCAACAATAGACATGTTTCTATTCAACATAAATCTTCAACAATAGACAGGTTTCTATACAACATTAATCTTCAACAATTGCCAGGTTTCTATTCAAACATATATATTCAGCAATAGACAGGTTTCTATACAACATAAATCTTCAACAATAGACAGGTTTCTATACAACATAAATCTTCAACAATAGACAGGTTTCTATACAACAAAAATCTTCAACAATAGACAGGTTTCTATACAATATATATCTAGCTCGTGTTTCTAAACACTGTTTATTGACAGGATGTAAATCATATAATATATTGTTCATATATTTTGGGGTATTTTATGGATATTTTACTTGTAGCAATTTTACTTTAAATGTGCCAGTCATTCATCAGAGTTGGATACAGCTCCAGTTTTAAGACACATCAGACCTAATACAAAGAATATAGAGTGTTTAACATGTTCTACAGTAAGGTAAGGACAGTGGGTGAAAAGTTATTGGTTTCAAAGACATTCTAAAACACATTTTATCTCTCTCCAAATTCCAGAAATAGAATTTTGTGAATATTATTTATTAGAGGTTGACATATTGTATAGACACTAAGTCTATTGTTGAAGACCAAGTGCTGACCTCAACAGGAACAATAAAGAACAAGGTCAGCTTCATTAAAAGTCTACCAAAATATATTTGAATTACAAATACTTAGAAAGAGTCATACAACATTATTTTCATTTCGGTACAGACTAGCTTTGTATTTTATGACATTGAGAGTTGTATTTTAGGCTGTTCGTTTCAACATTCCTTTCTGGTAGATTGATGTGAGAATGGTCATGCGATGTTTTTCATTTCAGTTCCCCTTTATTGATACAAGGGACAGGAGTCATGTGATATGATCTCTGTGTTCATGTGATATGTTATACGTTTTTCATTTCAGTTCTTCTTTATTTGTATGTCCAGATGACAGTAGTCATGTGATATGTGACATGTTTTTTATTTCAGTTCCCCTTTTTTGTATTTCCAGGTGACAGAAGTCACGTGATATGATCTGTATGTTTATGTGATATGTTTTTCATTTCAGTTCCCCCTTATTTGTATTTCCAGGTGACAGTAGTCATGTGAAAAGATCTGTAAGTTCATGTGATATGTGATATGTTTTTCATTTCAGTTCCCCCTTATTTGTATTTCCAGGTGACAGTAGTCATGTGGTATGATCTGTATGTTCATGTGATATGTGATATGTTTTTCATTTCAGTTCCCCTTTAATGGTTTTTCCCTGTGACAAGAGTCATGTGATGTGTATAGAGTGCTTTAGGTCTTATGGTATTGTCAGATTGAATGACAGAATGTTTATTGAAGATGAAAACCATGGATATAGTCTCCCTTGTCCTGGTACGTCATTGTTATATATAGTACAAATAAGAATTTTTATCCTGGTTATATAAACATGTCTTATAACATGTTTTGCAGATCGGGGATGTCATACAAAAGAAGTTTAGAAAGGGTTTCTTTCTGCCTTTATGTGAACTTTTCTTCTAAGCCAGCTTCTGTATCAACAATTAGAACCAGACTTGTCATGAATTATTTTTAAAAACTACAAATAAAAATAAGTGACATGTTGATCTGATGGTCATCAGATTTCACTTGAAATAAGATATGAAAAGGTTCCTCCTTAAAACTATTTGAAATTATTTACATTGCACAGGAAGAAGAGAAATTTGAAAATTTTCATAAAATGCAAATGGTTTTGCAAAAATTAAGGAGCATGAAGGGCTTATGCCATGGTTTTGTCAGTTAATTTTTGACTGATGTGTTTGAATTTCCCTTTGGTATCTTTTGCCTCTCTTTTATTAAAGTTTGAATATTAATGAATTTATATGTTGATTGTAGTTGGATGCGAAAACTCTCTCTTACAAGATGCTCATCACTTTTACCTTTTGGGAGAAGAACAGGTTGGTATACTTTGAGGAAGTACTGTTTCATTTTACTTTTTTGTCGCATCATTTTGAAATAAAATATTTATGATATTATTCTAGGCAAGCTATTATGAATACTGTTTTAAGATAGTATATTGTTTTCCATATTTGCAGGTACACAATGATGACAAAAACAACAATAACAAAATTAAGTTGATTGGAACACACTCTGTTGAGTAGACACAAAAATCCATTAACATACAAATTTTGGATTTTGATCGTTTCCTGAGATTAATATGAATATAATAGATTATCTGTGGGCCATTGATGATATCTTCTTCATTTGATGATTCATGTTTAGATGTTGGCTTTATTATTTAGCTATAGTATGTCTGTTGATAAGAAAATGTATTCAAGTCTGTACATTGTTTTGATGTTTAGTATGCCTGTTTGTAAGAAAATGTGTCCATTTGACCAAAATGTTCTTGTTCAAGAGTTATAGTTGTTAATTTCTGTGTCATTTGGTCTCTTGTGGAGAGTTGTCTCATTGGCAATCATACCACATCTTCTTATTTTTATATTATGTACGTTTTAAAAAATAAATATGAAGCTACATTTTCATACAATTTCTATTCAGCTCAGGGGAGCTGACTTAAATATGTCAACTTATATGGAAATGTCTCGCAATATGAAATGATATTTTTCTTTCAGGATTCTAATAGATCAGTATCTGAAATTATAACTTTTTTTTTAGTATGAAAGATACAAAAGATTTGGTACAGAGGAATATGTCCTGCAGAATAATGGTGTTTTATGTCCTTTCCCTGGATGTGGGGCTGGGATATTAATAGAAGATTCATGTAAACAAGTTGTTTGTCACAACTGTAGGGTAAGATTTAATTTTGCTTACTTAAATTTTTGACATACATTTATTTTAAAACTGAACTGATCCAATATGACCAAGTTGGTGTCCATTGTCTTAAGAGACCTATTTCAAAATGTTTCATAGCTTAATATGTAGTATGGGTTTTGCTCATTGTTGAAGGCGGTACAGTGACCTGTAGTTACTAACCTTCTTCGTCATTTGGTCTCTGGTGGATGGCTGTCTCATTGGCAATCATAGCATATCTTATTTTTAAGTCTCCCAAACGAAGTTTGGGAAGACTTATTGTTTTTGCTCAGTTCTTATTATTAAGTGTCCCAAACGAAGTTTGGGAAGACTTATTGTTTTTGCTCAGTTCTTATTATTCTTCTTCTTCTTCTTCTTCCTCTTACGCCGCTTTTAAATTTGAACTTGTCTGCACCCGTTCTCCAAAACCGCTTGTCAGATTAACTTAGGGTTTCACAATATGTTAGACTAACATGTCTAGTGGTGCAATCAGGGTTTTGTTTGTGCAATGGGGTTTATGAAGGGGTACTTTGAGGGGCAAAAAGAAAAGAGGGTTTTACTATAGAACCCTATGGGATTTTATTTTTTAAAATTTTCAAATGATTATAAATTGAAAACCGTTTGTGATAGACATAATCTTTTTAATTGAAAATGTTCTAAATGATAAAACCCATTAAATGAAATACAGGGTTAGTCCCCAGGGGTCATCCCCACCCCCTGCCATTTAAGAAAGTTCTAATACCTTGTAAGTGGTCAAGATCCCCACCCCTAAACCATATATATTCTGGTTTGTCATGCTAAGATGGTTTGAATGATATACAGGGTTAGTCCCCAGGGGTCATCCCAACCCCCTGCCATTTGAGAAAGTTCTAATATCTTGTAAATGGTCGAGATCCCCACCCCTAAACCATATATATTCTGGTTTGTCATGATAAAGCACATGAAATGAAATACAGGGTTAGTCCCCTGGGGTCACCCCCACCCCATGCCATTTAAGAAAGTTCTAAGATCTTGTAAGTGGTCAAGATCCCCACCCCTAAACCATATATATTCTGGTTTGTCATGCTAAGATGGTTTGAATAATATACAGGGTTAGTCCCCAGGGGTCATCCCGACCCCCTGCCATTTGAGAAAGTTCTAATATCTTGTAAATGGTTGAGATCCCCACCCCTAAACCATATATATTCTGGTTTGTCATGATAAAGCACATCAAATGAAATACAGGGTTAGTCCCCAGGGGTCACCCCCACCACCTGCCATTTAAGAAAGTTCTTATATCTTGTAAGTGGTCAAGATCACCACCCCTAAACCATATATATTCTGGTTTGTCATGCTAAGATGGTTTGAATGATATACAGGGTTAGTCCCCAGGGGTCATCCCGACCCCCTGCCATTTGAGAAAGTTCTAATATCTTGTAAATGGTTGAGATCCCCACCCCTAAACCATATATATTCTGGTTTGTCATGCCAAGATGATTTGAATGATATACAGGGTTAGTCCCCAGGCATCACTAATGCATATAACTTTACTGGACCAAACCAATTTTCACTGGACTTTGCCCAATGTCAGGCGACCCTGGGAATTACGAATTATGGGAGCTTCGTTTGGGAGACTTCGTAACAGCATCCTGTTACAATCATTTCTTGTTATATTTGTCTTTCAATCACTCACATTTTATGGTCAATAACTTTTGTATACCCCTTTGATTTACGATTAAAATCTTATGATATATATTTGGTTGCTTTAGCAGGTAAACTAGTATGTGGGTATCACATACTTCTACTGTCTATTACACTCTTAATTAGATTCTATAACAACAAAATCTTTTAAATTTGCAAATTAAAAAACTTGCATTTTCTGAAATAAAGTTGTTTTCATAATTGTTTTCAAAAAGGAAGTTGCTTAAATATTTTATGCTTTGTTGATTACTGTAAAACATTACTATTTGTGATTTACCTGTTTCAAAGTTATTTTTTTTAATAGGGGAGGGGGGACTGTCACAAATGAATAAAAGTACTTTTACAGCTTAATTGAAATAGTAGTGTGTTTTCAGAATAACCTTTGGTCTGTGCATTTGTTCATCTTTTCCTATTATCTTATGATGATTTTAGCACATTTTATTTCCAGTTTGAGTTTTGTAGACAGTGTCTTAACAGTTACCATGGAAGCTCAGAATGTAGACCACAACTGCTGGAGGACAACACACAGGTATAGAAATATAACATTATTCAGTTAGCTGTACACTGAAATGCTTTGAAAGTACATATATATGGTTTGTAAGCTTCTGCTTTTCTGAGATTCTGTTGTTCACTGACACTGCAAAATTTGATATCTGAGAAAGTGAAAATGTATGCTATAAATTAGGCAACTAATGATTTTTGTATCAATAAAGTGGAACACAAATATCAGACTAGTATGATGACTCTTTACATCCGTCCTCATCACACTTTGTATCCTCAGCTCCTCCAACTGGCGACTAGATTTGAATGAAATGTTTATATAGTCTTTAGGTATGAATGGCATTGAGTGCCCTTCTGATACATTTCATTTTTGGGGTACATGATTTTTACCAAAATTAGGCAACTGTATTAAAAATCAAAGCATAACTAAAAATTATATTGCTATAATTTATGAACATTTATGGTCCTACATCCGGTCCATATTATGTACTTATATTTTAACATTGCTCAAGGACATGTCTTTCTCAGACAATTTATGACGTCTTTACACCAAGCCTGTTGGATGTGTACTGATAAATTCTTTCATCTGGAAGAACATGATTTATTTATTACCGGTAGTTGTTTTTGGCTTTGAACTAGCTTTCAGAAAATGAAAGTACTCTTAGATCTGTACTTTGTGTCTATTGTCTTCATGTAAGTTGTGTTTTGTGCTTCTTGCCAATCTGATTAGTCGAGCCATTACCAAATGATTTTTACAGTTTGTTCTTATGTTGTGCTGTTGCATCACTTGGGAGGGTTGAGAACTCACAAGCCTTTTTCAGCTCTGCAACATTCTATATGCCCCTTCCCTAAGTCAGTAGCTGTTGTCGGTTGCTGTTTGATATGTTTCTTTTTTATGTATTGTTTTGTCCTAAAACAGGCTGTTTTTTTACTTTTGAATTGTTTAACATTTTGTCTTGTCTGGTCCTTTTTATTTAATTAATTTAATTTTATCTGTAGCCATTTTCACAAAAATATGATAAATATCTGTTTTTTTTCAGTAACAATTCAGGATTAATTTTGTTACAAAATTTTTTGGTCCTAAACAAAAAAGATTTTGATAAAAGGCAATATCTGGCACATGCATTTCATTCATTTACCTCAAGTCAAATTGAAAAATTAAATACATTGTAGAACATTTTAATTGGTAAATTGCTGTTTTCATTTGTAAAAGGTAAAGATGAAATTTTTTTTGGAAAAGTGTAGGAAATTCTGCCTTTTCCAAAAAACAATACCCTGATTGATTATCAGTTAAAAAAAAAGATAAAGGTGCCCAGAGAGAACCACCTACTTCAGTAGGAAAACTGACAATGCTAGTCAATATAAGATTAGAGTCAAGCCCACATGCCATGTTCAAACTCACAACTTCAGTGTTGACAGACTAGTGATACATTAGCTAGTGTATTGGCAGTTGGCCACCAAGGCCCCCGAGTTAAATACACTAAAAATCAATGATTTCATGAAATCCTAAAAAGTGCTAATATGCAAAAGTAAAAGCATATGTTTACTAATCTTCATCTTGAAGTTCATAAAAAGCTCATACATAACTTATATTGAGACCATTCTTATCTTATACTTACATGGTATGCTTTGATATTCATTGCAAAAAAACATGTGTAGGAGTATTAAAATATTGCAGAGAATGTTAATTATTGATAATTGGAGACTAATATCCATTCTTGATTTATATCAGGGCTATCAAGTTGATGAAGAGCAGGAGTTAAGAGCCAGATGGGATCAAGAATCACTGGCTACAATAGAGGAAATCTCAAAACCTTGTCCAGGATGTTGTACTAAAACAGAGAGAGATGGTAAATACATTACAAATATCATACATTAGTGGGAGGTATGGTACACTGTAGAATCCATTTGAACTTCTCACTTTCATTTGAATGTTGCCAATTGTACCTGTGTCAGTGGATCACTTAAAGAGATTTTTCCAAAATTCACCCAATATGTATGGACATTGTTTTTGTTTAGAATAGACCTTTTTAGTTTATTTTATTTGATATTCCCTATTAGAACATCAGATAATCATATGGCTCAACTTGAACAATTTATTCTTAATTTTCTTTCACTTTTAGCTCATTCATAGTTGTTTTAGTGATGTCTGATTTAACTAATGGAGAACTTAAGAAAGTTATGTGATAAATCATTAAAGTGCAGAAGCACCAACTAGTGAGTTAAATGTTATTCCTTACTTGTGAATTACCATATATATTTCCAGGTACCAAATGTTCACTAAAATGTCAAGTAAATAAAACAATGTTTATTTCTCTAATGAATTTTAGATTAATTGCTATAAGTATCTCCTCATCACATAAACTTTGAAAATTGATTCTTCCAAGACAAGTAAATAAACTGTCATTAAGAAAGTTTGACATCCCTGTTGATTGTAATTTCTTTACTTTAAGGTGGATGTATGCACATGCACTGTTCACGGTGTCAGATGGAATGGTGTTGGCTGTGTGATCGAGAATGGAACAGAGAATGTCAGGGGAACCACTGGTTTGGCTGATTATCATGGTGTGAAAAATTACTATATCATGAAAATGATGATGAAAGGCATTCATTTATCTGTATGAGGACTTTTTTTTTTTAAGTGTATATTCATGCATGAATTCCATTGTTATGCATAGGATAGTTGCAGGGCTTTATGATTTCTTGTCTATGTGTACGACCGTCTGTCTGTCCAACAGTTCATTCAGTATCAGGTTAAAGGTGTGCATGGGTTTTCATAATTTACCACGAAGTTTTGTTCACATCAACATGCAACTTTGTACACATGTATGATGTGATCTTTATACAACATATGCCAAATATGGTCCAGTTACAGTTCCTGAACATGGAAATTTGATAGTGCTAGAGCGGGAGTGGGTCCTTTGGACAGATTATCTTGTTACTAAATGTTTCAGATATTTGATTAAAGTGTTATCTTTTAAGTATCACCTCAGGGAAAGTATGACTATATGCATGTCTTTTATTTTAATAAATTCTTCCTTAAAATGTCTTAGCATAAGGATTTTGTAAGTTTTTACACTGACAATGGCCTTCGCCAAAACCGTCAGAAGAATGATACATTTGGATGGCATTTCTGTATTGGTAGTTTATATATAACATGCTCAATTGTTTTACCTTCATTCTTTGAAGAGATTGATTGATTAATTGATGTTTGATGCCACTTTCAGCACTATTGTGCTATATCATGGCGGTCAGTTTTTATTGGTGGAGGAAGCCAGAGTGCCCAGAGAGAACCAACAACCTTTAGATGAAAAATTGACAATCCTAATCAATTCAGATTGGAGTCTAGTGCAACTGCCATGTGCGGGATTTGAACTCACAACCTTAGTGTTGACAGGATAGTGATAGTAGTTCAACTACTTAGACCACTCAGCCACCAAGGCCCCATTGAAGAGATAATCCATACTAAACTGTGAAAGAGTTGGTGCAAAATTCTAAATTATCATAAGAAACAAATCATTGCTTTGACGAATAATTTTGTATTTGGTATTTCTGCACAAAATTTTTTCTGAATAGACAAAAAACTAATCAACCCAGTTGAGCACAGTAGAACTAAAAAATGTTTAATAAGTATCAAGAACAGAGAATTGTTCCCTATCAAGAACTTATCTTACTCTGTTGTGCAATGGTTTATTACTTCATTAATATAAGCTAACCTATTATTCTACCAGGTAGTAACTAAGTTGATTACATTAATACACAATACTAACCTATTGTTTTGACTATCCCAGAAGTCTGTTCATTTAGATTAAGGTAGCCAAATGAACTGGCTCTGATAAAGAAAATGACCGGATGACTGTTTTGTTACATTTAGATTTCATGACTAATTTTGTGGTATATAATTACACTTGCCTTCAGTTTGTATTTTTTATACCCCACCTAAGATAGTAGAGGGGCATTATGTTTTTCGGTCTGTGCATTCATCCGTCCGTCCTTCCATCCGTCCATCCGTCTGTCTGTCCCACTTCAGGTTAAAGTTTTTGGTCAAGGTAGTTTTTGATGAAGTTGAAGTCCAATCAACTTGAAACTTAGTACACATGTTCCCTATGATATGATCTTTCTAATTTTAATGCCAAATAAAGAGTTTTGACCCCAATTTCACGGTCCACTGAACATAGAAAATGATAGTGTGAGTGGGGCATCTGTGTACTATGGACACATTCTTGTTTTTATGTGTTTTCTGCATTTAGGACATTGTAGGTTTTTATACGACCGCAAAAATATTTTGTGGTCGTATATTGGTATGACGTTGGTGTCGTCGTAGTCGTCGTCATCCGAAGACACATTGGTTTTCGCACAATAACTTTAGTTTAAGTGAATGGATCTCTATGAAATATTACCATAAGGTTCAATACCACAAAAGGAAGGTTGGAATTGATTTTGGGGGTTATGGTACCAACAGTTAAGGAATTAGGGGTCAAAAAGGGGCCAAAAATAAGCATTTTTCTAGTTTCCAGACAATAACTTGTGGAACGGTGTATGGATCTCTCTGAAATTATACCACAAGTTTCCATACCACAAAGGGATGGTTAGGATTTGCTTTGGGGGGTTATGGCTCAAACCGTTTAGGAATGAGGGGCAAAAAAGGGGGAAAAACAAGGCTGTCCTGGTTAATGGACAAATACTTTAGTACAAAACATAATTTAAAGCAGTGTAAGAGAGGTAATTCAAATAGATCATTTGAATTACCTCCCTTACACTGCTTTTAAATTATGTATAAAGTAATGGTTAATAAACAATTAAGACAATTTAAAAGCAGTGTAAGGGAGGTAATCAAATTAAGTTTTGATTACCTCCCTTACACTGCTTTTAAATTATGTTTAAAGAAATGCATATTTATAAAGGAAGACCAGTAAAAATATCTGCAAATGTTGCATCTTTTTTTTTTAACAAAATCTCCATATGAATGATTTGACACCATATTTTGAATTGTATTATAAAATAGATTAAGTTAGCACTATGGTAAATTTAAATGGGTAATTATTGTTGCAAACTCCATTGGAAATTTGAATTGAGATTATGACCATATCTTGAAGGAAAGAATTTTTTTTGGGGAAAAAATAGGGGGGGGGGGTAAAAAGAAATTGTGGGGGGTCAATTTTTTCTCATTTCAGATTTCAGAAATTAAAAAGAAAAATTGTTCAAATATTATTTTTTTTGCAAAAAAAAAGTGTGTGTGTGGGGGGGGGGGGGGGGGGTTAATACGCAACAGCATAGTGTATTGCACAAAAGCAAAAAATTGAATATAAGTTCAAATCATATAACCAATTCTAAGTTCTTTGACTACAGTTATTCTGTGTCAGAAACTTTTTATGTGTCAAACATTTAATTACAATCCAAATTCAGACCTGTATCTAGTGCGAATTTTGCGTCCATTTTTGCCCCAACTGTTCAGGGTTGGACCTCAGCGGTCGTATCCAGCTGCGCTCGGCAAAGCAATTTATTATGTAATGTTTTGTCGACTGTTGTTTGTCCTTTCATCTTTTTTCTTTTGACCATGATATTAGCTATCTTTCTCCAACTTATAATTTATGTGCCCTTGGTATCTTCTTATTCTAATGCTGTTCTACCTTAAACTTTTGTTTTGTTAGATTTGTGTATGTTATAATAAACTTATGTTCTTTAAAAAAAAGAATTTTTAAATGATTGTTTTACAAAATTTGTTGTGAGATAACTCAAAACATTTTAATATGCTTTAATTTTTCATATTTGTTAAATGTATTATTTTGAATGTGAAGTTGTTACTTGTTTATTTTTTTTTAACCGTTGACCAAATATGGATATAATTTGCTCTAATTTTATATTTAGGTTTATATTTGTAGTTTTTTAAATTTTATTTGAAATAAGATTTAATGATATAATTCTTGATGTCATACTTCAGACAATAAATGTCTCTTTGATTTTTATCATATATATAACCAGCTTTAACATGTTAGTGCATAAAATGCACAAAATATATGTCAACAGATTCTACTAGGAAGAATTTTGAAAAAGGGAAGGGGGACGGGGGGAGGGGAAGACAAAATTAAGATTGGGACTTGTAAAAAGTTTATGTATCAATCATATATATATATTGATCCCCCTAAAACCACCTCTGGAGGTCAACAGTATTCTTCAAAATTTCAATTTAAGGGCTTATTTGCTTTGGTTTTTAGCCTTTTTGGACATTTGATATATAATTTATTTTGTTATATAAGGTTTCATAGTATAGTTGTAAATATCCATTTTCTTAACTCATCTAAGTGTTGCTTGGTAAATTATAAATTTGCCACTGTGACAGTAAAATCTATGATTTACATCTTTAAGGCATGAAATGCATTAATTCACTGCTGATCTGTCTTTAATTTGACTTATCTATTCTCTATGTATTTTGAATTTTTATTTTTACATAACATTGAATTTTATTGATGAATTTTTGTGATACACATGTATAATATTTTACATGACAGAAGATATTGTATAGTAAACAGAAAATATTTGTATAAAGTTTTCTCAATAAAGAAATAGTTGGTCGAATACATCATTGATACAGCAAACCAACACCACAATAACTAGAAAAGATACTTAATAGTATTTTTATAAACCCGTTTACGGGACGTATTATGGTATACCGTTGACCGTCTGTCCGTCCGTCCGTCCGTCCGTCCGTCGTCAACATGTCGGACATTAACTCAAAAACGCTTTAACCAATATGCATGAAACTTTATTGAATTGTTTATATCTATTGACGTGAGCTCCCTTTCGTTTTTTATAAATTTCAGATTTACTGTTTCCGAGTTTTGGGGTTTTATTCATTTAAAAAGGGGGGATTTACCAGTTTTCCGACAATAACTCAAGAATGCTTTCACCGACTTGCAAGAAATTTTGGTGAATTGTTTATATCTTCTGACATGAGCCCCCTTTCGATTTTTATGAATTTTAGATTTTACTTTTCCAAGCTACAGGGTATTATTCATAAAAAAGGGGGATTTTAAAGTTTTCGGACAATAACTAAAAAATGCTTTCAGCAGTTCTCATGAAACTTTGGTGAATTGTTTATATATGTTGATGTTAGCTCCCTTTAGAATTTTATAAATTTTAGATTTTACATTTCTGAGTTATAGGGTTTTATTCATTAAAAAAGGGGGGATTTTCCAGTTTTTCGACTATAACTCAAAAATGCTTTCATCAGTTCTCATGAAACTTTGGCGAATTATTTATAGTTATTGATGTAATCTCCCTATTGAATTTCATAAATTTCAAATATGACATTGAGGAGAAATTGAACTTTATTTGTTTATAGTCTGACAACAGATTTACTAAGTATTGCGCAACATCACAGTGTATTGCACAACAGCAAGAAATCTTTAATTAAATATAAATTCAATTCATATAACCAATTTCAAGTTCTTTGACTTCATTTATTTAGAAACCTTTAATATGTCAAATATTTAATTACAATCCAAATTCAGACCGGTATCAAGCTTGAATATTGTGTCCATTTTTGCCCCAACTGTTCATGTTGGACCTCCGCAGGCGTATCCAGCTGCACTTAGCGAAGCAGTTTTTTTTCTCCTGTTGGAATGCAAAAGAACCAATGAATGGTCAGACCTTGCTTGCATTGTGGCAGAATGGTGTAGTTAGGTGATCTACCTTTTCCCTTACATATCCCTCTACCCACCATAATTCAGGCTTAATCTGTCTAGTCAAAAACAATTACATCTGTCAGATCATTTGGTATTTTATTTATATAAGACAATATGACAATTACTCTTTTGTCCAGTCGTCCATAAATCAAACTGAATAAAATGTTTTGTATAAACTTTGAAAGTATAGAAAGTAGCATTAAAACCTATCAAACTAAAAATAGTCAGTGAAAGAGAGGCTGATTCTTTTGGCAATCACACTTTTAAAAGAGAGGTGAAAGATTCCAAAGGGACATTCAAACTCAAAAGTTGAAAATAAACTGACAACACCATGGCTTAAAAAAAGAAAAAGACCATCAGACAAACAACAGTATACAAAACACAACATAGAAACACAACATAGAAAACTAAAGACTGCTCAATACGAACCCCACCAAAAACTGGGGGTGATCTCAGGTGCTCCAGAAGGGTAAGCAGATCCTGCTCCACATGTGGCACCCATCATTTGGCTCATGCAAGTACAAACCCGGTGATAAGTCTTATTCGGTAGGTCACATTTGGGGAAAAGGGCACGGGATTGTAGTTACGACAATTGGAACATAACCGTCGTCATCTATGTAACAGATATTCCATACCGGTCAACTAACTCGTGATGGCATCCATAAAATTACAAAGGAATGATTTCAACTTCACCACTTGAATCTTGGTTAAATAGCTTCCCTGTGAGCATCAACCCTCTATCAAGGTAATCATGATAGGAAATACAAGCCCTGGAATATCAGTGACTAAATATGAATAATAGGAAAAGTCCAGTATATGTCAATGAGAAAACCAAAACAACCAAAAAAAAAGGTAAGATATCCAGCTCAATGTTTATCTATCCTTCTTCGTATGTCTATGCAGATAATGAAAGAATCTCAATGAGAATCTAGCATACCCCAAGCTAAAAGTGACTTTCCATCAATAGTTAATATAATACAGTCATATTTCTGATTCCTTTCTTAAGATATCATCCAGGGTTTTGATAAAGAATTGATTAATTAATATACATAGTAGCTAATGGCATAGCACCCGACTCTTCATTTTTGATCTGCTTAGTTTTTATAGTAATTTTTTAGACTGCATAAAATTGTTTTTTTTATTTATAGATAAATAATACTGATAGGGAAAAAATTTCATTCAGATAATATTTTATATTGTCCAGAAAATCAGGTGACCTAGAAATAACATAATCCAGAAGATAAAGCCCCTAACTCCCTTGACACAAAATGGTTGTTTCCTAAGAAAAAGGTCCAAAACCACCTAAACACGGTTTCCTTGAATTTCACAGTTGTAAGAAATTAACCTTAAATTTCATTGCAGAAAAAATGTCTGATTTATAAACATATATTGGGACTTTTAAAGCCCCATTCTTTTTTTTATTTGGTGTTTCTATAAAATATTTTGGAAACTTTGAGGTTACATGGCTTCTAAAGCTTGTAAACAGGAAAAAAGGGTGAAAATTTGATTGTTTAACTTCCAGTGATGGTTATTATCTTATATGAAATAAAATGTTATGTGAAATTTTGTCTTTAGGAAGCTACGATTTGATTTTTATGGGGGGGGGGGGGGGGTAGGATGAAAAATTTTGTCCTGCATTTTTTTTTAGTTGTAATCTCTATCCTGCCTTTTTATTTTTCACTCTTTTTGGTCCTGCCTTTTTTTTATTAGTTTATCCTGACTTTTTTTACATAAATTGTCAT